GTGGAGGTCGTGCTGGGTGTGGTCGGCTGGGTGGGGGTCTTGCTGGGTGGGTCGTGCTGGGGTCGGGTCGTGCTGGGGTGTGGTCGTGCTGGGGTATGGTCGTGCTGGGGTGGGGTCGTGCTGGGGTGGGGTCGTGCTGGGGTCTGGTCGTGCTGGGGTGTGGTCGTGCTGGGGTATGGTCGTGCTAGGGTGGGGTCGTGCATTTCGCTCGAGACATCCTGCCAAAATTCCAGGAAATCGTACAAAAACAAACGAATTAGTCGAGACATCATCGAATTTCCTTCGCGCGGGGCGCTTTTCCGCGTCGCGGTCGGCTCTGCAAAACAAGCGTTTCGCTCGTGACATCCTCGGCAAACTCTGCGGAGCAAGCGTTTCGCTCGAGACATCCTCAACACACGAAAAAGTGGCCCGCACCCTGTGATTTATCGATCGGGATTTCAAAAACAAGCGTTTCGCTCGAGACATCCTCAAATTTTAATTCGCCGGCCTCCTTCGACCTCGTTATTTATCAGGGAAAAAATTCGCCGGCCTCCCTCAAGCAGGCACCGGGGGACTAGGTTTACCTACTAAAAGAGAACCCTTGGCCCCAGCCTTTTCGGAAGAGAGTGGCCCGCACCTGTGATTTATCGATCTGGATTTCAACATATGGACCACGAACCGGAAAGGGATATAGACATGTGGAGCATGGACACGATTTCATGATACCCAACTGGGCAACACCTCACGACACATCCCACGAGACACCTCACGAAACAGCCCACGAGACACCTCACGAAACATTCCACGAGACACCTCACGAAACATTTCACGAGACACCCCGCGAAACATTCCACGAGACACCCCACGAAACATTCCACGACGACAGGCAACCACTCAACCAAGGCGGTGTGGTCGTGCTGGGGAGTGGTCGTGCTGGGGTGTGGTCGTGCTGGGGGGTGGTCGTGCTGGGGGTGGTCGTGCTGGGGGTGTGGGTCGTGCTGGGGGTGGTCGTCTGGGTGTGGTCGTGCTGGGGCGTGGTCGTCCTGGGGCGTGGTCGTGCTGGGTGTGGTCGTGCTGTGGTGAGGTCGTGGCCTGGGCGTGGTCGTGCTGGGGGCGTGGTCGTGCTGGGGCTGGTCGTGCTGGGGTGTGGTCGTGCTGTGTTGAGGTCGTGACTGGGTGTGGTCGGGCTGGGTGTTGGGGGGGGGGGGACAAAAAAAAAAAAAAAAAAAACAAAAAAGAAAAACAAAAAACTCTTGCTGGGGTGGGGTCGTGCTGGGGTGGGGTCCTGCTGGGGTGTGGTCGTGCTGGGGTTTGGTCGTGCTGGGGTGGGGTCGTGCTTGGGTGGGGTCGTGCTGGGGTGTGGTCGTTCTGGGGTGTGGTCGTGCTGGGGTGTGGTCGTGCTGGGGTGGGGTCGTGCTGGGTCGGGGTCGTGCTGGAGTGTGGTCGTGCTGGGGTGTGGTCGTGTTGGGGTGTGGTCGTGCTGGGGCGTGGTCGTGCTGGGGTGGGGTCGTGCTGGAGTGGGGTCGTGCTGGGGTGTGGTCGTGCTAGGGTGGTCCGCACCCTGTGACTTATCGATCGGGTCGTGCTGGGGTGTGGTCGTGCTGGTGCTGGGGTGTGGTCGTGCTGGGGTGTGGTCGTGCTGGGGTGTGGTCGTGCTGGGGTGGGGTCGTGCTGGGGGGTGGTCGTGCTGGGGCGTGGTCGTGCTGGGGCGTGGTCGTGCTGGGGTGTGGTCGTGCTGTGGTGAGGTCGTGCTGGGGTGTGGTCGTGCTGGGGTGTGGTCTTGCTGGGGTAGGGTCGTGCTGGGGTGTGGTCGTGCTGTGGTGTGGTCGTGCTGGGGTGTGGTCGTGCTGGGGTGTGGTCTTGCTGGGGCGTGCTCGTGCTGCGGTCGGGTCGTGCTGGGGTGTGGTCGTGCTGGGGTATGGTCGTGCTGGGGTGGGGTCGTGCTGGGGTGGGGTCGTGCTGGGGTCTGGTCGTGCTGGGGTGTGGTCGTGCTGGGGTATGGTCGTGCTAGGGTGGGGTCGTGCATTTCGCTCGAGACATCCTGCCAAAATTCCAGGAAATCGTACTAAAACAAACGAATTAGTCGAGACATCATCGAAATTCCTTCGCGCGGGGCGCTTTTCCGCGTCGCGGTCGGCTCTGCAAAACAAGCGTTTCGCTCGAGACATCCTCGGCAAACTCTGCGGAGCAAGCGTTTCGCTCGAGACATCCTCAACACACGAAAAAGTGGCCCGCACCCTGTGATTTATCGATCGGGATTTCAAAAACAAGCGTTTCGCTCGAGACATCCTCAAATATTAATTCGCCGGCCTCCTTCGACCTCGTTATTTATCAGGGAAAAAATTCGCCGGCCTCCCTCAAGTTGGCACCGGGGGACAGGTTTACCTACTAAAAGAGAACCCTGGGCCCCCGCCCTTTCCGGGAACAAGCGTTTCGCTCGAGACATCCTCAATTTTTAATTCGCCGGCCTCCTTCGACCTCGTTATTTATCAGGGTAAACATGATGGACCCACGAACCCGGAAAGGGATATAGACATGTGGAGCATGGACACGTTTTCATGATACCCAACTGGGCAACACCTCACGAAACATCCCACGAGACACCTCACGAAACAGCCCACGAGACACCTCACGAAACATTCCACGAGACACCTCACGAAACATTTCACGAGACACCCCGCGAAACATTCCACGATACACCCCACGAAACATTCCACGACGACAGGCAACCACTCAACCAAGGCGGTGTGGTCGTGCTGGGGAGTGGTCGTGCTGGGGTGTGGTCGTGCTGGGGGGTGGTCGTGCTGGGGCGGGGTCGTGCTGGGGGGGTGGTCGTGCTGGGGGGTGGTTGTGCTGGGGCGTGGTCGTGCTGGGGCGTGGTCGTGCTGGGGCGTGGTCGTGCTGGGGTGTGGTCGTGCTGTGGTGAGGTCGTGCTGGGGTGTGGTCGTGCTGGGGTGTGGTCTTGCTGGGGTAGGGTCGTGCTGGGGTCGGGTCGTGCTGGGGTGTGTCGTGCTGGGGTATGGTCGTGCTGGGGTGGGGTCGTGCTGGGGTGGGGTCGTGCTGGGGTCTGGTCGTGCTGGGGTGTGGTGTCGGCTGGGGTGTGGTCGTGCTGGGGCGTGTCGTTGCTGATTTGAAAACTTTTCGGAGTGTGGTCGTGCGGGGGTGTGTTCTGCTGGGGCGTTGGTCGTGCTGGGGCGTGGTCGTGCTGGGCGTCGTCTTGCTAGGGTGGGGTCGTGCTGGGGTGGGGTCGTGCTGGGGTGGGGTCGTGCTGGGGTGTGGTCGTGCTGGGGTGTGGTCGTGCTGGGGTGTGGTCGTGCTGGGGCGTGGTCGTGCTGGGGCGTGGTCGTGCTGGGGGGTGGTCGTGCTGGTGGTGTGGTCGTGCTGGGGGGTGGTCGTGCTGGGGCGTGGTCGTGCTGGGGCGTGGTCGTGCTGGGGCGTGGTCGTGCTGGGGTGTGGTCGTGCTGGGGTGGTGGTCGTGCTGGGTGTGGTCGTGGCTGGGAGTGGTCGTGCTGGGGGGTGGTAGGTCGTGCTGGTGGGTGGTCGTGCTGGGGGGTGGTCGTGCTGGTGGTGTGGTCGTGCTGGGGCGTGCTGGGAGTGGTCGTGCTGGGGGGGGTCGTGGTCGGGGGTGGTCGTGCTGGGGTGTGGTCGTGCTGGGTGTGGTCGTGCTGGGGTGTGGTCGTGCTGGGGTGGGTCTTGCTGGGGTAGGGTCGTGCTGGGGTCGGGTCGTGCTGGGGTGTGGTCGTGCTGGGGTATGGTCGTGCTGGGGTGGGGTCGTGCTGGGGTGGGGTCGTGCTGGGGTCTGGTCGTGCTGGGGTGTGGTCGTGCTGGGGTATGGTCGTGCTAGGGTGGGGTCGTACATTTCGCTCGAGACATCCTGCCAAAATTCCAGGAAATCGTACAAAAACAAAGGAATTAGTCGAGACATCATCGAAATTCCTTCGCGCGGGGCGCTTTTCCGCGTCGCGGTCGGCTCTGCAAAACAAGCGTTTCGCTCGAGACATCCTCGGCAAACTCTGCGGAGCAAGCGTTTCGCTCGAGACATCCTCAACACACGAAAAAGTGGCCCGCACCCTGTGATTTATCGATCGGGATTTCAAAAACAAGCGTTTCGCTCGAGACATCCTCAAATTTTAATTCGCCGGCCTCCTTCGACCTCGTTATTTATCAGGGAAAAAATTCGCCGGCCTCCCTCAAGTTGGCACCGGGGGACAGGTTTACCAACTAAAAGAGAACCCTGGGCTCATGCCCTTTCCGGGAAAAATCCGCCGGCCTCCTTCAAGTTGGCACCGGGGGTCAGGTTTACCAACTAAAAGAGAACCCTGGGCCCCAGCCCTTTCCGGGAACATGTGGGATTTTCCACATTTCTGAAATTCGGTGGAACCCCTGAAGCACATCCGTAGGATCAGGGTCGAAAAACAAACAGGTCCGGACACTGCTTCAGGGCGGCGCCCAGACCTCTTATTTCAGCTTCTGCATTTCCAATTATCCGAGACAAGGGGCCAGCGGCATGGGGCGAAGCCCTTACGGATAATCCCCTGAAACAAACGGTTACTACAAATCAACCTTAATGGAAGATTTGATTTCTTCCGCCACGGCTGCGCCACCGCTGCGCTGTGTCGTGGTGTAGGAGTTTATGGTGGAAGGGGCGGCCATCGCAAGTCTTGCGACGCTCTCGCCTTCATTCACTGTGGCAAGAGAAATGGGCCAAACTATTTTCACGGCGGTGTATGCGAATACTGCATGTCAGACGCGGATCAAGCGTCACCATCGCCAATACTGCATGTAGGTATAGCTGAGGCGACAAACTGCAAGCCATACAGACATAGGCTAGAGTTGAACCTGCAATGGTATGAAATGGTATGACCTGATGTGGCTTTACAAATACCGCTTGCTTGGCTAAACCAATGACCTGTAGACAGGGTAACCTGACTGGAACAAGACCGAAAGCAACCTCTGACTATCATCCTTCTCCCTTGCCTGAGAACAGATTTCGCTCCCCGAACCTTCCCTCCCTACATGTCCAGACAAGGAATCCAGCACGGCCACCGCTTACGGTCGACCCACACAGGTTGCGTGATGTCTACCTCCGTGCAGAACGACAGCAGCATGTCGAGGTCCAGGAACGCGCTCTGTCTCCTTCTGGAGGAGATGACAAGGGCAGCGTCAAGACTCCCAGAGATAAAGGAGCAGTGCAGCAGAAGGGGAACCCCCACCTCCTCCTCCTCCTCCTCCTCCTCCTCCTCCTCCTCCTCCTCCTCCTCTCTCCTCCTCCTCCCCTCCTCCTCCTCCTCCTCCTCCTCCTCCTCCTCCTCCTCCTCCTCCTCCTCCTCCTCCTCCTCCTCCTCCTCCTCCTCCTCCTCCTCCTCCTCCTCCTCCTCCTCCTCCTCCTCCTCCTCCTCCTCCTCCTCCTCCTCCTCCTCCTCCTCCTCCTCCTCCTCTCCTCCTCCTCCTCCTCCTCCTCCTCCTCCTCCTCCTCCTCCTCCTCCTCCTCCTCCTCCTACCTCCTCCTCCTCCTCCTCCTCCTCCTCCTCCTCCTCCTCCTCCTCCTCCTCCTCCTCCTCCTCCTCCTCCTCCTCCTCCTCCTCCTCCTCCTCCTCCTCCTCCTCCTCCTCCTCCTCCTCCTCCTCCTCCTCCTCCTTCACAATCTCCTCCTCCTACGCAAGAAAGAAGGCTGCATGCACAATGCCTGTTTGCTGAGTCCCACATGCTAGGCCGTGGGATCCAAGACTGGCAACGGGCACCCCCTTGACTCAGACTGCTGCGAAGAGCAACGGGGAAAACATCGCCGTCACCATGCGCCACCGCCACCCAATCATCCCTCGGGGATCCTCTGACCCGGGTCAATCCAGACCCTGGCCAATCAAACCTTGCAAAATCCTGAAAGATCCTGCACCCAAACCTGGGTCAATGCGAAGGATCCTGCAGGATCCTGCAGGATCCTGCACCCAAGCCCCGGTCAGTGCGACACTGGCCCTGCAGGATCCTGCAAGGTCCGGCGCTCGGACTGACCCCCTTTTGCATGGACCCCCGTCTCGAGGCTCCCGAGGCCGCGCAGGCCCGGCTGGCATTGCCGGCCCACGCCACGCCGCGGTGTGGAAGCCCTGCAGCGCGACCAGCATCGTCGCCGCCGCGCGGACTGTTGGGCCGATTCTCCACCACCACCACCACCACCACCACCACCATATACGGGACGGGGGAGAAGGGAGGATTAGGAGGTCCTCCTCCTCCTCCTCCGCCTCCGCCTCCGCCTCCTCCTCCGCCTCCGCCTCCGCCTCCGCCTCCGCCTCCGCCTCGGCCTCGGCCTCGGCCTCGGCCTCGGCCTCGGCCTCCTCCTCCTCCTCCTCCTCCTCCTCCTCCTCCTCCTCCTCCTCCTCCTCCTCCTCCTCCTCCTCCTACCTGTGGTAGTGGTGGTGAAAAATGGGCCCATCATAAATGCCTCCTCCAGGGCGGCGGCTGCGTTCTCCGTGGAGGGCTGTGCCCAGCACGGGGCGTCCGGTCCTCGTCGGGACGTCGCGCCTACCACCCTGATTGAAGGGAAGGGGCAAAACACGATGAAGGATGACTTCCCGCCTTGCCAAGGCCGCCCTTCTCGCAGCGACAGGGGAGGCAACGGCTCTGACCTCAACGGCTCCAACAATGGCTTGCACCGAAAGGTGGACGGCAAACCAGGTGTTGAGGCCCTGCCTACCACCCCAAAGTGCCCCAGGCTGCGGACACTCACTCCCTCGAGGGGACTTGTGCAGGACGTGGCCACAATTTCGGACCATCCTACGCTCTTGACGTGTCTCTGCTGTCATAGCGGCCACTCACCTTTGTTATATCATCTCGAAGCGTCAACGCCTGCATATGGTGACCCTATTGCGCGACGGTTCAGCTTCCTGCGCCATCTCAGCATATGTAGAGGAACGTGGCTACAGTGCTCAACTCACGCGCTGGCTTTACTTCGAGGGACGATCCCGAACACATGAGTCGCAGTTCCGATGTAGAAGTATAGACTGCTGCTCATTCGCCGAGGTGGAATGAACGGCCATGCATGTCGCCCCTCTTCCTCGTCCTCCTCGTCGTCATCGTCCTCGTCCTCATCGTCATTATCCTCTCCTCATCGTTCTACATCCCTCGTCGGCATCCTTTGCTTTTCACGCACTGTTCTCTGGCTTCAGAGTGGCACAGCTGTTGCCCAGTGCCAAGTGCTGGCTTCCCTGGCATCTGGCATGCCATCAGATTCGGGACCCTCGGGGAGTCCACCCCATGGCTTGCAAAATCTGGCCAGCGCCCGCGATGTCAGCCAGCCTGCTTGCTCCAGTGGGTCTCAAGATCGAGTGCCCCGTAAGAGTGAACGCACGTTCGGTTTACCTATTAGCTGTCAGTGAAAAGGGCCTCGGAAGCGAGGTACGCGTGCCACACTACTTGGTGCGTCGTCCAGGGGCTTTCAGCTGTACTGGTGACTGCCCAGCCCTCTTATTTCTGGTTAACTGCGTCGCCAATATGTGACACGGGCAACCTAGGCCCTGTGTGCCTAAATTACTGGGCCGCGATAGTGTTTCTAGTACGTGCTGGCTCCTTATCCCAGTCCTCCTCCCCCTGATCCTCCCCCCCTCCATCCACTCCACCCCACTCTCTGGCTCCATTTCCTCCACCTCCTCCTCTGAGTGCTGCGCCAAGTTTTTCCCACAGAATGTCGTAATCATCAGCAGCAGCATCGTTATCGCCAACCTGACGCGCACAAGCATCAGCATCTTCCTCCTCCTCCTCCTCCTCCTCCTCCTCCTCTTCATGCTCCTCCTCCTCCTCTTCCTCCTCCCAGATATGGTGCACGGGCAGATCAAGAGTGGTCTACTTGAAGGTGGATCAGCGAGATTTCCTGGAGGAGCGCATCCTGAAGGATCTGGTCAAGAAGTACTCGGAGCTCATTGGTTTCCCCGGCAAGTCGGCTGTGGAGAAGTCCAAGAATAAGGAAGGTCTTCGTTCTAAGGACGATGAGGTGGATAAGATGGACGAGGACAAAGAATGTGATGAGCCGAAGGTAGAGAAGATTGACAAGGAGCCGTTCGACATGTGTGAGCCCGGAAGTGCAACAACGTCAAGCTGTACACGACGCGTCTTCATCAAGACGACTGAAAACTGAGATGTGCAGATGCCAATTTCCGTTAGTAGTTGTAAGTCGGCCCGGTCCCTCTACAGGGGAATACTCAACATGATGGACCCACGAACCCGGAAAGGGATATAGACATGTGGAGCATGGACACGTTTTCATGATACCCAACTGGGCAACACCTCACGAAACATCCCACGAGACACCTCACGAAACAGCCCACGAGACACCTCACGAAACATTCCACGAGACACCTCACGAAACATTTCACGAGACACCCCGCGAAACATTCCACGAGACACCCCACGAAACACAACCACTCAACGACAGGCAACCACTCAACGTGCTGGGGTGTGGTCGTGCTGGGGTGTGGTCGTGCTGGGGAGTGGTCGTGCTGGGGTGTGGTCGTGCTGGGGGGTGGTCGTGCTGTGCTGGGGTGGTCGTGCTGGTCGTGCTGGGGCGTGGTCGTGCTGGGGGGGTGGTCGTGCTGGGTGGTCGTGCTGGGTTGGGTCGTGCTGGGGAGTGGTCGTGCTGTCTGGGGGGTGGTCTGCTGGGGGGTGGTCGTGCTGGGGGGTGGTCGTGCTGCGCTGGGGCGTGGTCGTGCTGGGGCGTGGTCGTGCTGGGGCGTGGTCGTGCTGGGGTGTGGTCGTGCTGTGGTGAGGTCGTGCTGGGGTGTGGTCGTGCTGGGGTGTGGTCTTGCTGGGTGTGGTCGTGCTGGGGTGTGGTCGTGCTGGGGTGTGGTCGTGCTGGGGTGTGGTCGTGCTGGGGCGTGGTCGTGCTGGGGTGGTCGTGCTGTGTGTGTGTGGTCGTGCTGGGGTGTGGTCGTGCTGGGGTGGTCGTGCTGGGGTGGTCGTGCTGGGGGTGGTCGTGCTGGGGGGTGGTCGTGCTGGGGCGTGGTCGTGCTGGGGCGTGGTCGTGCTGGGGTGTGGTCGTGCTGTGGTGAGGTCGTGCTGGGGTGTGGTCGTGCTGGGGTGTGGTCTTGCTGGGGTAGGGTCGTGCTGGGGAGTGGTCGTGCTGGGGCGTGGTCGTGCTGGGGCGTGATCGTGCTGGGGAGTGGTCGTGCTGTGGTGAGGTCGTGCTGGAGTGTGGTCGTGCTGGGGTGTGGTCGTGTGGTGAGGTCGGGATTTCAAAAACAAGCGTTTCGCTCGAGACATCCTCAAATTTTAATTCGCCGGCCTCAAAAACAAGCGTTTCGCTCGAGACATCCTCAAATTTTAATTCTCGGGCTCGTTATTTATCAAGGAAAAATTCGCCGGCCTCCTTCGACCTCGTTATTTATCAGGGAAAAAATTCGCCGGCCTCCTTCAAGCAGGCACCGGGGGACTAGGTTTACCTACTAAAAGAGAACCCTGGGCCGGAGCCCTTTCCGGGAAAAATAGTAAAAAATAGTCTGGGGACGATTGTTCTATTATTGTTTGACTAGATTGGGGGATTGTTTACATCTTTAATTGTTCGCCCAAAATCCCCCTGTAGGGGGACAAGCCCGACCTAATAGTAGTTCCGTCAGGTTGATGAGCCAGTCCCTAGTGCCTCCCTGCCCCTTGTCCTTAGCCTGGTAGATCCAGGGCTGTGCATCCCAAAGCCCCCTCGGAGGGGATGCGGATCTTGCAAGCCCCCGTGCGGGGATGCGGATCAAAAGAAATTCAGGTTCGGAAGCAAAGGGCCGCCTGCAGCCGCGTCGGGCGGCGGCACCACTAACTCACCCCCAGCCGTGAGATCGTCCTCCTCCCCCTCCTCCTCCTCCTCCTCCTCCTCCTCCTCCTCCTCCTCCTCATCATCATCATCAGCATCAGCATCAGCATCAGCATCATCATCATCATCATCATCATCATCATCATCATCATCATCATCATCATCATCTTCATCATCATCATCATCATCATCATCATCATCATCATCATCATCATCATCATCATCAGCATCATCATCAGCAGCAGCATGATCATCATTAGCATCATAAGCATATTCATCTTCATCATCAGCAGCAGCATCATCATTATCGCCCTCGTCATCACACAGCATGTTATCACCGTCCTCGTCATCATTAAAATAAGAAGCAGCAGCAGCACCAGCAGCAGCAGCATCATCAGCAGCATTATCAGAAGCAGCAGCATCATCATTATCAGCATCAGCGTCATCATCATCGTGAACATCATCATCATCATCATCACCATCATCATCATATTCTGCATCATCAGCAGCATCGTCATCATCATCATCACCGACATCATATGCATGAGTATCGTCATCATCACCACCACCACAACAATCATCACCATCATCATAAGCATAACCTTCATAATCATCAATATCATCGTATGCTCGTTTTCCTTTGCCGCCGGCATCGTCACACACGCACAAACGTAACTTTGCCACTGGCACCATCCTCATCAATATCACTGACACGACCGTAATCAAGATCGCCGTCATTTGCATTACCACCACAATCATCATCAGACTCAGTACTATTATCATCCGCGTCGTCGTCATCATCACAACCATCACCATCGCCCCTGATCGCGCCTCCTCCTATTGATTTAAATCCCTTCCTAATCTAACCCCTCTGTGCTTCCCTGCTCGTTCTCATCAGATCCTCTTACCCGCAGAACCTCCTGAGACACCCTGACTCCCGCCTTCTCCTCCTCCTGACGCGCGCCCTTCCCCCTAGAACTTGCAAGAATTCCAAGAAAACTCTAGACCTCGGACCCCCTGAAACCCTCCCCCCTTCCCCTCCCCCGTCAGAGCCGACCCTCAGGCCTCTTTTAGAAAGCTCCTTCGGATCCGGGTGGCGGGGGCGGCCCCCCTGGGGATGCCCCTCCTCCCACCTCCCGCCTCGGGCAGCACGGTCTCCTGAGGCCCTTCCTGCCCTGGAGGAACCTCCAGAAGCAGCTGCACCAGCAGCACACGAAAAGGCAACCGGTGTAGGCGTCGAAGAACTGCGGCGCATCGCCGTCATCGCCGTCGCCGTCGCCCCTCTCTCCGACCCCTCCTCCTCCCCGCTCCTCTCCGGGCTGGGACCGGAGGCTGCTGGGTCAGCAAATAGCAGACTCGGATTTGCCTGAAGGGGCGGTCAGAAGAGTGACAGGACTGGGCCTGAAATTTGGAGCGAGCTACAGTACAGCTGCAAGCATCTCGCGAAGAAGAGGCCGTCGAAATGTCGTGCTGGGCCGTCAAGGAGTGGCGGCAAGTTCGAGTTCTGGCAACATCGAGTCTTACGTATCCATGGTGACATGCGACAGTTTGGGAGTAGAGGTTCGGTCTGCGGCGCCTGAGGCAAGCGACGGGGAGGCCTGGAACACTGTGCCAGAGGACGGGGAACCGGGGGAAGGGGTCGGGGGCCAGGGGACCCCGGGGAGGGGGAGCCGGAGCCGGGAGGAATCGCGAACCAGCTCGCGCCGCCGGGCTCCCCAGCGGCGCCCGACGCCAGCAGGGGGCGACGGTGTCAAGGAGTGCGCCCGGCGGCGGCGGGGTCGACACCAGCTGCACGCAGCGGAAGCTGGCCACGCTGCGGGAGGAGGAGGAGGAGGAGGAGGAGGAGGAGGAGGAGGAGGAGGAGGACGAGGAGGACGAGGAGGGAGAGAAGGAGGAGGAGGAGGAGAAAGATGGGAGGCGGGGGGATGAGAGACGGGCAAGAGGGGGCGGGGCATGCATCCGACACCAACACGCCTGCACAGGCCCAAATCTCGGAGGCGTCCAAGGGGGGGGCGTCCAAGGGGGGGCGCAGATCATGGCCGGAGGCAAGTGCGCGGCTCAAAGGGTGCCAGGGGGCGTGTAGAAACACGAAGAGGCGCCGTGAGATCTGGGGAGATATCGTGGCCCTGGCCATGATGTCCACCCTAACCGAACCCTGGTGAGACTAACCCCCTGAGGATGATAAAATTCGGGATCCGGGGATGGTATTCAACTTTTTCAGGAGATACAATGTGGGATGCTCACAAAAACTGCGAAACAGTAGGGTTAAAGGGTACAATTGGAACTTTGGAGGGGACGAACAAAGTTTGGCCCCCGCGCCTGCTGTGGCAATCGAACGACTGTCAACCCCGAGGACAGAGAGATACAACGTTTAAGGGGGAGGATGCCCTATTATCCTGGGGGTGCGGTTAATCATCGCCCCCCATCTTGGCCGCCCCAGAAAATCGGACGAACGTGCTGGAGTTGCTGGAACACGAAAGGCCTCCTAGATGGGGTAGGAGCAGATGGGGTGTTGGAGGATCGCGCCGCATCGCCGACACATCGGCGATGCATCGGCGATGCATCGGTGATGCATCGGTGATGCATCGGCGATGCATCGGCGATGCATCGGCGACGCTGGCGATGCATCGGCGCCGTCGGCGTGAAGCAAACCAGGCTCCACATCGAGCCGCATCGGCGATGCATTAGCGATGCGGCGCGATCCTCCGACCCCGTCTGGGAGGCCTGGAGCTTGGCCGCCCCAGAAGGTCGGACGACCGTGCGGGTGTTGCTGAAACTCTGCGGAGGCGAACGCCCTCCGGAGTCACAGGAGGAGGAGGAGGAGGAGGAGGTACAGGAGGAGGAGGAGGTACAGGAGGAGGAGGAGGAGGTACAGGAGGAGGAGGAGGAGGTACAGGAGGAGGAGGAGGAGGAGGAGGAGGAGGAGGAGGTACATGAGAGGAGGAGGGTGGAGGAGCGGAGGGGGCAGATGAGGAGGAGGAGGAGGAGGGGGAGGGGGACGAGGAGGAGGAGGAGGACGACGACGACGACGAACGCGCTGTTGCTGAAACTCTGCAGAGGCGAACGCCCTCCCTCTGCCGGGGACCACACGGGTACGCTCGCGGCCGCTGGCCACGCCCGCCGCGCGCGCGGCCGCCTTCCAGTTGTTGCGGCTGAACAGGTAGACCCGGTTCGTGGTCACCTCAAGGGACCCAGAGAGGCACACAAAAGCTGACACAAGTACATACCCCCTTCGCACATGCGCAACAAACAAGGTCAACTTATCCGGGAGGGGCGTCGGGCGGGCCCGATAACCTGGGCTCTCGCGAGTTGAAGAAACAAACAGTCTCAGAGCATCGCCCTCCTTGGCGTTGGAGATGCCACACCACTCCTCGATCGCAGACTTGCGCATCTCCATGCAAGCCTCCGCGTGCACGCCTCCATGACAAGTCCCAATTGTCCCCCATAGCTGTTCCATATTCATTGGCTGCTTCCCTCTTCCCCTGCATCTCCCGTGCCCCGGAACGCCCTGACCCACATCAATGCAAACCCAGCCAATCGGGCTTTGCGGTATCCTGCAAGCTCCTGCAGGATCCGGCGCGCTAGCCGGGGTCAGTGCGCCCCTGGCTCTGCAGGATCCTGCAAGAGCTGCTGTCGTTCTGGCTGACGCCCGCTTGCATTGACCCCCATCGCGGGGCTCCCGACCTGCTCCACCACATCTCCCTGGAAATCGACGCCTCGTTTGTGCCTGCGCCGATGCTTCCCTCCCGGCCACCTGCCACACAGGCCTCCGTGCGCCTCGTGCTCCCCCGACCTGCGCCTCCGCACGGCGCCCCCGCCGCCGCACATCCTCCTCGTCCCCCTCCCCTGGCTCCTCGTCCTCCTCCTCCTCCTCCTCCTCCTCAAGCCTTTGTGGATCAAACCTTCTCGGGGGGGGGGGCCCCGACCCGCACGCGCGCACGCGTACCGTGTGGCGGTGCCCCGCACGCGCGGGGCGGCCCGGCACACCCCGCAGCCTGAGGAGCGCCCAGTGTCAGGCCGGCGGAAGTTGCGGTGACGATTCGGATGGCCAAGGGCGGCAAGCAGGAACGCCCGAGGTCGACCAGTCGTGGACGGAAACAAGAAATATCTGGCATGTCCTCAGTGTCCTCGCTGTTGGGTCCTTGTGCACAAAGCCAGGAAGACGGGATGGGAAGGTTGCCGAGCGTGGTCGATGGTGGAGGGATCCTGCACGCGCGCTCGCCATCTTCAGCCTGGAGTATGAGGATGAGGGTTCCGGCGAGCCCTTGCGTTCCTGCCTCAAGGGAAGCGGCGTGGCCAGGGACCCTGTGCTGGAGGTGATGCTCCCGAAGTACAGCAGAATCATGTCTGACGGCGACGATGAGGCCAAACAGAAGCTCCTCGCCGTCTGTCCGTCCCTCGAGACTGCGTGGAAGCCGCCTCCAGAGGCGACTCCTCAAGAGCGACCTGTCCAGAAGGCACAGCAGTTGCGGCAGCTTCAGTCCCAGCAAGGACGTGTCAAGAACCAATTCATCCAGGCAGCGCAGACGCAGAAGGACCTCCAGGCCAATCTCAGGACCAACATCGACCAATGCGTGGCGGCGCAAGCGGAGATCGACGGCTTGGTCGGGAAGACGAGTGCGGCAGGGCCCCAATCAGAGACTCGTCAGGCAAACTAGGCACAGTAAGAAGCTGAATAAGATTTCCTGAGCTGGGTGCAGAAGAGTTGGCGGCACTTGACGAAGCTACTCGGACTCAGTACACCCAGGCATCGGCGGCGGCGACGCACAAGAATGCTAACGATGTACTCAAATCAGCATCAGACGCGGGCAAGGCAGCAAGAGAGGCAGCTGAGAGATTGCGAACACTCCGCCAGTTCATCAAGCGCAGGCGCAACGAGAGTGGACAAGCTGCTGGGGCAGACCCCACCGAGGAGGCCAAGACGGAGAACCGTATCAACCCAACGTCGGTGGACTCCACCGACGCGGCAGCCGTGGACGTGGACCAGTACCTTTCCCAGACCGCTGCGCTACGGGCCAGGGGCAAGGGCATCAACAGCAACTCTGCAAGTGGTGATGCAGCCTCAAGTGCCAATGGATCGAACCTTTAGCAGCGCCGATGGTGAGAAGATCGTACCAAGCAAGACCTATACGGATGAAGGGTGGCCATGTGGACGTGCCGTGCGCCAATGCCACTCACCATGGGGAGAAGGTGCGGCACTTTGTGAAGCACCGTGGGCTTGACAGGGCTGGCCTGGC